CACTAACGATATGTATAATACTTGTATTAAAATACTTTATTGGACATAAGATACTTTGCATGGTAATTTAATCTTATGTTATACGTCTCACATTGTATTTATCATATTATTCTTGTTCTCTTTTTTTGTATTATTTAAATCTGTTACACAATTCTCTGTGTAGGTTTAGACTAAATATAACTATCTGTTGATAAAGCTGATACACAGAACAATATAAATAAAGCAAAGTTATAATTAGCAGTGGCACTTATTTTTATAACTTATATAAATACATATTATTGAAAAACATTATTCTGGAATTGGAGAAGCATGATATCCCTAACACTTTTAGGGCTTTATAGCTGAAACTATCTTCCAAGATGTGTACTGACGACCAGATTAACGCGGGGTTGTAGGAACTGGAGATTTAGGGGGTCTCGCAAAAATTCATATAGGTATAATTTATTATACAATGTATATATAAAGTAGCATATTACATTGTAGATCAGAATATAGCATGGTTCTTTTACCAGCATCTCTTATTAAAGCAGAAATTCCCTGATAAAAAGCAGCCTTGCAGACAAAGGAAACCTATTTAGAATATGAATGACAGCAGCATTATAAAAGATGTGTTCCTTATCTGTAATTATTATAGTACTAGCTGGAGTATCCGTCCCCTGGAGGAAGTGATGTAATTTCCCTTATTCTGCTTCCCTTATGTGTAATTGTAAACAATGCAAAAACGCCCACAAAAACCGCAAAATGTGAAAATAAAATCTGTAGGTACCTCTGCATGGATTTAATGAACCTCCATATCATTTTTGGTAGAAATCCTTTCAAACCCTGCGAAGTAGTTACATGAACATATAACAGACAACAGAGAGTACTATTATCCATATCTAGTTTATTATTTTGAGAATATGAGCATGATATTCTAAATTTAAAGGTCGGCATGTAATGTAAGAAATCATGTCGCTCATGTTTATTTTGTGTGTGTGTGTGTGTGTTCTGTACAAAACTTTTTTGTTAATCTATTAAGTGAAAGGTATTTTTGAAACAAAAACTGAAATTATACAAAAAAACGATCTGCCGAACTGCAGTTTGAGAGCACATATAAAACAATGTAGTCCAGAGCTGAGACGATGTTTCAGTTACTGTAGTATACCATTTTAGTTTGTAAATACAAGCAACCCATGCTCAGTTCTTGTTGATAGGCACTGCATTTGTAGTGAGTATGTCTCGCGGGCTGATGTGTCGTTGATCTGTTTACTTTAAGGCCCGCAGGTAAATGCACCTGTTTCAATTGTACGTTCAGCAATCATTATTACTAATTTGGTTGAAGCTTTTCGGGCTATTTTTGTCTTTTTAGTTGAACTTTAACTGCCGTATTATTATGTTGTTCCCAATGTGGGGGCTTCAAAGCTTGTTACACTGTAATGTTGTATATGTAGAGCATTACGGTTTGATGCTTCGAAACCCTGTAAATCGCTTTGTATAAAGAGGAGTTCCAAATGAATAAATAATAACAAATTGATTGTACGTAAAAAACAACAACAAAAAAACGTGTTTTTATATAATGTTGAAAGCTCCAATATGAAATCTGACCAGGATTTATAATTCGGTTAGGGGGTATTAAGTCAGCATGAGAAGAAATCAAATATGTTTAGAGGGGCCTCACAAAATGTAAATGCCTCGGACCCCGATCAAAGTTAATTTGATCCTGGATATACCTCTCGCAGCGACTACCTATGGCCTAACATTTCTCTTTGTTTTGTCCCGTACGATCTAAAGTTAAAATGATTTCTTTGTTATAATCAATAAATATGTAAATATTCGTTGCTAACTTTTTCCATTGTTATATATTAGAAAATACTGAAACTGTGTGAAACTATGATAACTTGACCATTCCTTTATTCATTATGTTATTCCCCTCATCTACTTTCATTAGTTTAATTAATTGACAAAAATAGAACCATACATTTACGAGTAAGTAACACCCTGTTCTACGTACAAAACAAACACCTATACGTAATACAATAAACTTTAGGTTTATTTACAAAATATGGGTACATTTTCAAATAGTGAAGAAACAAAATTTACAAGCCAAATGTTTCGCAACAATTATAAACGTCACTAGTAGAACGACCAATAGACTTTACTGTGGATTTTATGTAATAGTTGTAATTTCCCAATGTGTAAAACAGTATAACAGAAGACATTTTTCGGTAGGGATTTGTACAATATCATGAAGAACAGAAGGTTTTCTAATAACTTTAATACTATATGTGTTGTACTAAAAAAACGGTGTTTTTCAGACTTGAGTAGTTTTCCTGAGGTTGTAAAAAATAATAAACCTAGTGGCTACAATCGAACAGTTAACAATTATTTTATTGTCGCAAATTTAAGTTGTTATAAAACTCGTAATTTCTAGTTTATCTTATTTTATTTTGATTTTCTGTCATTTCAAATTAGTTCATCAACAATTCATTAATTCATTTCCAGTATCTTCTGTTTTGTGGTATATACTCATGAATCTTTGAACAAATGTTTCTGTCAACTTCAACTTCAAGTTAAGAGTTATATTATTTCCAATAAATAAGTTTTTATTTTCCGAATATTCTTGTAAAATTACATAAAGATTTTCTGCACTAAATGTCTCTAATTTTGAACTGTTAGACAGCTAGTCAACAGCGCATACCACCAACTCTTGAATTTTAATTAGATAGTGGAATTTGATCATCATTGTTATAACGAACCCAGGTCCAAAAAGTTCGAAGCTCGAACGGGACTCAAATCATATACCCTTGGATTAATAGTCCACCACCTAACCACTAAGCCATGCTCAACCCAAAAATAAAATGTACTCTGATGTTTAAAAGACATAACTTACACTTTAAAATTTTTATTATATTCGTTTTTGTTTTTGTCAGAGCAAAAGATAATTACGATGATGAAACAAGAACTCATTTTTCTCTATATGACCCTTGAACTAAGCCATTTATTTTGAAATAAATCTGACAAAAGTCGGATTTGAAAATATTTCTATTTGTAGTGTTTAACTTTCCCCGAGAAATTTGTGTTAAAATCATGGATTCTGATAAGGGGTCGTTGAATATTTATTCTTCTACGAACCATCTTAAATGATTTTACCAGGATTTTAAGTTACCGAAAGCCCCCAGTGGCACAGCGGTATGTCTGCGGACTTATGCCGCTAGAATCCGAGTTTTGATACCCGTGGTTGGCAGAACACAAATAGTCCATTGTATAGCTTTGTGCTTAATTACAAACAAACAAAATTATCGAAAAGTAATACCTTCATTCTACTCTATGTTTTACAAACAAGCCCAATTTATCTTCCGTGTTGATAAAATAAGCTTAAGATCTCTATAAATTCCATATCTACTTCATGATGCTCATCGATAGACAAATTTCCCATAAATAAACTCGAAACTATTTACTCTTCAAATTTCACTCCTCAAGCAATTTACTTTTTTTAAAAAAATTAATTAGTTTTATAAAGAGTTGCTTCAAATTTGACATAAAGTTATCATATTTTATAAAGTCTCGGGGTTTCCTTTTGGCTATATTTATTTTAAAAAAATGAAAGTTTGTTTTATATTTAAATTATCATTATTTGCTCAGTATTCTCTTGTTGTATTTAGACAAATAAAATTTGTCTATGTGTCTTAACCCTACGTTTACCAATGGGGCTCCATAGCTTTTTAAACATAGTTTCTGAATTATTTATGTACCAAGTTGCTTGTAGATCATTGGTTTGTTAGTTACAGAATCCTTCGTAACACATGATTCGCACAAAATATTTGAAGTAAAATACCTTCAATACTATGATTAGTTTCAGAAGTTACAACTGGAGTCCCATCTGTATTATTTTACATTAAAACATGAATGACTCATAACATTTGTTTTTGCCGGTTCTTTACTTCGAGTGTTGTAACAAGCAAAACATAAACTTACCCAATATGATGCAATATGTGATCCCCACCGGTAGTGAATGATATAAGAATAAGACGTTAATTTGAGAATTAGTAAAGATTTTTATTTTTTTTGACAGATGAATTCTCAGAACAATTTTAATAATCTAGCAATAAAATATTAATAATACACAGAGAGAGAGATATCTAGAAGCGCTACACTATTCCATGATTAGCAAAATTACTTCCTTGAAACATTTTTATGTTTTCTGTCAAATAAGTGTGAACATGTTTCGCTTTAATTGTACGTGTACACAGTGCAAACCCACCACAGAATATTTTTTTAAAACTCTTGGAGGACAGACTAAATTTGAAAAGTATGACGCATATAGTACTTTGTAACAGATTAAGAAGTATCTATTTTACGATTCTTGATTCTCAGCAATGAATGTATGTTTTTGGACTAATGTATGAGTGGTGGGTTCTAAGCCTAATGGTAAAATTGCGTTGATATTTACTTAAGTATTTTCAAAATGATTTATTTGGTGCCTTGAAGACAGCCCACTTTACACTTGCGAAAAGAGTGCTCGCTTGTGCTCCATAAACTGAAAAGCTTGAACAATACCAATAAACACTGTGTCAAAGAAACGTTCTTAGCACTGTCATAGTCATTATATAATAAAGATATATAATGGCTCATGTTCCTCTTCATACAGGGAATATCGAAGCTGAGAAAAACAAAAACAGAAATAATATGGCGACGAGTTGGAAATCGCAAGCAAATCTTGCTATTTATCAATAGCGGTATCACCCGCCCCTTAGATTTCGTCCTCACTTCCTCGTCCATCTTAGTACATGTATTACCGTCTGTCTCTTTGACGAAAGAAAAGATTAGTTAATGGTTACGTGTTTTCATGTGGAGCTTGGTAACAGGAGTTTTTCTGTGCTAGAAATAGAAAGTTTTGGACGCTTGACGCAGGAAGGGGAGCTGCAACGTAAATAGTAAGATACGTTTTTATTGGACTACAGTTTCATGTCAGCTTTGTCTAGAGCAAACTTCGTTCTCAGAGAATGATTTCATTTAACTAGCTGCTATTGTTTGTCTGTGGCTACAGAAGGAGTAACGAACATAAGGGTCAAGGGCGTCCCATGACCCTACGGCTTGTGTTGGACGCCTTCGCGGAATGAATGCTACTGGTGGAAGAAAGACTTCCAACAACCTTCAAGTAACCACAACCGCCCACGGGTCCAATCTTCCTGAAGTAAATATCGCGTTACTTGGGGCACTTGGAGTAGGTAAATCAGGTAGGAGATGCTTTTGTAAGTTTAAGTCAGCGTGGTTAAATAATTAGTCTAAGTTGTGGTATTACTACAAAAACCGGACTTAAGTAATAATATATATATTATTTTGAGATAACTTATAAATGAGATAGGTTCAACCATTAGAAATGATGTAGAGTTCTTGAAGCAACGTTTTGTTTAAAGAAAAGAAATCATAAACCAAATAACAATAAAACATATATTCTGAACCAACATTATCATTCAAATACGTGAAAGTACACAACTTGACAGGTACCAGAGTTTCAGTAGTAACCATAAGTACTTCATTTAAGCCCGTATTATAAAACGCATTAGTTCCTAATGTTAAGTTTGAAGAGTAATGTAATTACTAGAGAACAGATGAAATAGTTATTAGGTTAATCTAAAATCAAATTAAGAAAGTGTTTGAGACACGGTCGATTTTCGCCTAGGCCTAAATTCAGAAAAGTAATCAGTGAGGAGTATTTTTGAAAACAAAACGAGAAAGACATAATAGAATAAGCATGAGAAAATGATGAAAAAAGGAGGATTATACTATAAGAAATACAAGAAATAACACTTACAAATGTAATAAAGTACAGACTACAAGCATCCATATATTGTCAAACTAATTATCTATAATTTAGAATCCACCACTGTAATATAACACTTTTCCAATATCCAAAGTGAAACTATTGATATAACTAGATATATCATATTTGGGGTTTGAAAAAGCTATGCATTAAGAATATTGTTAAATAAATGTAAACTGTTTAACTTATTATTGTTAAATAAGGCATGAAATGATTATTATTGTATAAAATGGTTGCACATTTTCTGTTTTCCCTAAATACACAAAAACAGAGAAAAACCTGAAAATGAGATTAGCGTTTTTAACAATGCATAGGTAAAAAAATTATAAAAACATAAAAGCAATAAACCAGTAACGTTAGTTGAAATGGAGAGTAATATCAATACAAGTGAATCACAAGAAAAAATAAATAAACGGTACTCATGAATCAAATATTGTTCAGGTGTTTTCATATCCCCAAAAGACTTAGTATCAGGTTAAAACCAACTCAAGAACATATATATAAGATACTATAGTTGTGTTTCTAAATAAGACTACAATCCATTTCAGAAGTAAATCTGAGTTTACTGTATGTCTAAAATGAATCTTATATTAAGTATAAGTAAACCTGAACTATGTTTTACAAGTGAGTTTAAACTGTTTTTACATGTAAGTTTAAAATATTTTTTACATATAAGTCCAAACTATGCTTTGAAAGTAAGTCTGAATTATTTCTATAATTACATCCTAGCCAGATGTTATAAGTAGGTCTGAACTATATTTTACAAGGTAGTCCTGTTTTATAACTCTAAACTATATTTTAGAAATAATTCAGAACTGCTTTATAAGTAAGTCTGAACAATTTTATAAATAAATGAATTATTCTTTATGATTATAATTTGATTATAAAGATTGTTTTGCATAATTAGCTTAACATATGCATTTATGACATACCTAAATCTCCTATGCTGACCATACCTTGTGAAATATTATTAGAATTACCAAAAACATCGTTAACAACGAGGGTACCCAGCTGATGAAACAATTCATTCTAATCGTACATTTAATTGGCTATGCTGATTTCCAGTTCAATCTTTATATTCGCTCTAAGTACATAGCTTGCTCTGATTGCCAGATGATATTAATTGTTACAAGTTAGTCCGAACTATGTTTTGCAAGTAAGTCTGGACTATATCTAATAAATAAGTCTGAAATATGTTTCACAGGTGGATCCTTCCAATGTTTAAAAAGTAGTTCTGAACTATATTTTACAAGTAAGCCTGAACTGTCTTATTTGTAAATACGAACAATGTTTTAGAAGTAAATCTGATCTATGTTCAACAAGTAGGTCTGAGTTGCTCTGAACTGCAACGTGTAAAATAGCCTGTACTGCATGTTATATAAACGTCTGAACTGTACTGGATAAGTTAGTCTGTATTTTATATTATAAGCAAGTCTGAACTGTATTGTTCAAGTTAGTCTATACTGTATGTTATAAATAATCTGAACTGTATTATATAGGTTAATTTGCACTACATGTTATAAGCAAGGCTGAATTGCGTTCTATAAATTAATCTGTATTGCTTGTTATATACAAATCTAAATTGTAGTGTATAAGTTAGTCTGCAATGCATATTGTAAACAAGTGTCAACTATACTGTAAAAGTTAGACTATATCTCCTTATGCTGGAAAATAATAAGATTTTAGTTTAAATTACACCAAGATAAAAATTAACACAGATAGTTCGTGATGATAAAGTGGCAAAAAACAAACACACCCCATCTTTAAACGTCTTTGTTTTGTTCTGTGATCTAGTGGCTCATAAAGTGCCTTTCGAATAATCGAAACAACTGGATCAGAACATATCAGCTGAGAGTAAAATTCTAGAACTGACTTTGTTGTTAGCTTTTCACTCATTTTGCACCACAAAGTCACTAATCTCTTTTATCTTACAGTTATTTACGTAGTCGTTTCCTTTTTTTTTTTTTGGAACAAGTAACACGAGACTTTATAAAATTTTAAAATATAAGTCTTTTAGCAATAAGTTTTGGAATACTTCAACAAAAGACTCAAGTTTAGAACGTCGAAACTACAATTTTTATAACTCTAACTGGATTTATATGTGGAGATAAACAGATACGTTAGTCATAGTAAAGTTATATTGAACAAAAACATTGTGTGTGTTCTATTTATAAAACAATTCCTCAAAATGAACTGGCATGGGTTTATTATGAACTGAGGGTTGTAGCAATAACACATATTTATCTTACTCCAGGACTAAAAATAAGGCAATAAATATGTTATTCATCTATAACATAGGTTTGGAATCAAAGACAACATAAAAAAACAATTAAGACATTTGGCTGATTCCCTAATGGATTTCCCTTGCTTGTCGCCCCATTTTACTCGCCCATGAAGGGGCTCTCGCCAGGGAGATGGTTAATAAACTTCAAATTAATCAGGCTTTGCCAAACTGCGCTTTTATTATATATATCGAGTGGTTTACATAATTTTTCACACAGCTTTTAAAGTAAGTTATATATTTAAATTGCCATTTTTAGTGTGAAAATCTTTAAATGTCTCCATGAAAAATTATAAAATACATCAAGTATTAAAAACCATTCCTTTAACTATGTAACTGCGATGCTTTTTTAATTCACTAAGTTCTGATTGAAATATTACCAAAATCAAATTAAAGAAATAACAAAGTATAACTATTCCAAATTTTGCTGTAGTCATCATCTGATATTTATATATAACAAAACCATTGAAACCAACCTAGCTGAGAAATAATGCTATCATTGGTAAGGTAATAGACATTACAATATGACATTGTGTATTTTCAGTTTGTTGTACAGAATTGGTTTCATTAACTTATAAGTTACTCTTTAGTTCTGATCTACAAAATCAGTTTACTTTTGATAAGAAATTACAACTGTTTTGTATATTTACGTTCCAGTTAAATGCAGTAGCGATTGTTAAGTTTGGAATATTTCCCTTATTTTTATATCTGTGTTTGAAATGTTGACATTTAACTTGACGTCTCAGTAAGTGTTACTCTGATGTAAATGTTTAAAGTTTATTTGTCTAGATAGAGGTGAGTTGGCGTCGAGAAGTGTCTGAGAGAGCATTTAAATAACGTGTTTCTCAAGCTTATTTATACTTTTAATGGCCAAAAAAGCCTGCTCTGGATGTCTTTGTTCTTATTTTAGTTACCTGATGCCTCATCTTGAATTTTCACGCAACATAACTATTCTGATGGTTCCACTTTCATCAGAGTGGGAATGCGATAATTTGATGTTTATGTGCTTTCCTTGAGTACATGTGGTCCTGGCGAAGAAGCATTTTGTTCTGATTAAAATAGCTGAAAGATAGGTAGAAATACACAAGACTGAGAGCAAGAATCTATGTTTCAATAGCAGAGATGTTGTTATGGTTCGTTCTAAAGCAAAAAACGTCATCAGATGATCTCACAAGGTACTCATAGTTTCAAACAAATATACTGCAAGGAAAACGAGTGATAACGTCATAGTTTATCACCATGTTACTATACTTAAACTAGCAGTAATCTAATAAATAAATGTGATAAATCTATATTCAAACAGATAACTCGAAAATTTTATGGCTTTTTTGTTAAGTGATACCATACTACGTGCAATGCCATATAATTACAAATTTCACTCAGGATGTTTCCACTCTAAAATCTATGATAAATTATTTGAAATAGCCTAAAGTAAGGATTGTTTATTTTTCCTTTTCCGAAGCAACACATATTAAAAACGTATCTTATAAGTAGTTCTTTACTCAAAAAAGTATATGTAGTAGTTAAACATTAAAAAATTTACTATAATTTAGCGAACAAAATTGCTCACTTGTAAAATCAAGAAAAAATAAAACAACAAAAGGTGTGTATATATATATATATATATATGGTAATTGCCATTATGCAAGAATAATTCCATATTTATTAACATACACTAGCATATTCCCGCAGTTTTCTTTCTGGTTCGAATATATATCTAAAGAAACATGACCATTTTTCTTAATTAGTTATACGACAGTGCAATGAAAGACTGATATTAAAATTTGATTTATACTACATGAGGAAAGAAATATAACATGTTAAAACGTTAGAGAAAAGTACGTGGGAACAGACATATTTAAGAAGACATTTCTTGTTTTTCATACGAAGGAGATTTCAGTACTATAATCCCCCCTTATGCATTGCCATACCTTGCACATAGTCTATGAAAACAGCCTCAATTTGCAGTAAACTCTTCCTGTTTTAATTGGTTGTGTTTAAAGCAAATAAAACACGCATTAAGTTACAGCTGTTAACAAATTGTGCGATAAGTTTCAGCCAAATACTAACAATTCTAGAATACTTCGTTTTACTTCTGACTTAAATAGGGAGTGAAAACAATTTGATGAACTGCTTAAGGAATGCATTTACAAGAGCTATATGAGGCCTAAATTCATATTTTCGCTGCTGGACAGTCATTTAAAGTGTTACACACAAATGTGCATTTATAGCTCATATTCTGTTTATGAGTTATTTCTTAGTATTCAGAAGTCTTATATGATATAAATGGCACTATAGATAAGAAACTGTGCTCTAGTAATCTATAAAAAAAACCCGCTAATATTATTACTGTTCTCTGATAGGCGCGAGTTGGTTCTGCAATACAGATCTGAATTTCGGATCTGGAGAGAGCTGTGTTCAGATATGTGTGATATGACATAATACTTCTCGCACTTTAAGCTGTAAGCGAGTTAGTTATGATAGAGACAATCAAGCTCTTAGATTGGTGGGTGATAAGGTGTTGCTCTCTTCTCTGTGGTCAGTAGTTCAAAACTAGGGCCGACTAGGGTTGGAATAAGTAAACATTACCAGAAATAGAAAACACAAATACTCTTCTCTGGAATACAAGATCAATAAAACTCATTTCAGCCATCTCTATTTGATCATTGGTCATCATACTGGTAAAATATTTTAGGACCTGTATACGTTTTTTAGTTAAGGGCATTTTGAACATTATATATATATATATATATATATACAAGGTACATGAACGTAATCGTAAAGTGCTCTTTTAACATAAATTGCATTTAAGTACGGACATATTACACATACCCGTGCACATAGTGTTCATGCTTAAAGCTATAGTACAACAGGAGTAAACGCTATTATTCAAATAAACATTTTAATGCAATGTTTCATGGTTCTAAAAATACTACAGTCACGGCCTTAACAACTAGCTTCAGCGACATTAATTGATTCCGTCACTTGTCAAAATCCATTGCTGTTAAAGTAGTGTGGTTTTATAGATTTAACTTCGGTTGAAAATATTTTCACAGAACTCCCGCTATGAATTAACTGATGGTAAGCCCTAATAGGAATTTCAGTCAGTTACGAAAGGATGAGATGATAGAAATAGACAAAAATACTTACATTATCTTTGAAAAAGCCGTTCGTTGTAAAAGATTTTCTGAGTTATCAAACTTCTTAAAATTAACCCTATTTTCTTCAATTATTCCATATGACGTCACCAAGAAAAAATCAATCACTCGTTGTGATGAGACTCTAATAACTTATCAAGTCCAATTTGTTTTATTAACTTTTGATATCTAGTCGGCAGGATCTTTCTGCTGTTTTGTTGTTGTTGTTGTTCCAAAGGACTTTCCGTAAGACTTAATTAAGTACAATGATATGGATACTGAATCGGAAAAATTAAGGCCAACTCAAAATAAAACTTGACTTAATAAACTATTTTCTGAAATTAACCTTGGATACATTAAGTATGGATAGTATGAGTACTTGCAAAATTACAACAGTAACGATGATTGTACCTTTACCAAATAGCATTGTGGTAAATGAATTGTTATAATCTATTTTATTTCACGAACTATTGAGCTTGAAGTGTTACAGTCGATTTAACGTGAATATTTCGCTTCTAAATGCTAATTGTTATAATCAAATATTTAAATATGTTTTTAAATTACAAACATTTTTACATATACTTTTATTGATAACTCAAGCTTAGTTTACAGGAACAACCTGATATAAAAACCTTTCTCAGACTGACATTTGTAATAACATTTCTCGACACTAGGCTGTATCGATCGAAACAAAACACTCTATTGCGTTCTATTAGTACAAAACGAGATGAAAACTACATGAAAGTCATACAAGTGAAAACATAAATATACTCATATACGTAGTTTCGAAAGAAAAATTTAAATAACAGCATATATTCGAGAATGCAGGTTACCTATCAGATGATTTGTTTTATATTGTTGTCTTGGCATTAAGATATTAAAATATTTTCTTGCAGCACTGACGGTGAAATACATTACCAAAAGGTTCATTAGTGAGTATGATCCTGACTTAGGTAAGTTGTTTACGAAGACTTCGAACATGTTGATTTAAAACTTATATTAATGATAAAAAGTTCAACTTACTGATAAACCTCATGTTTTAACACTTGAAAGAGTATCGTCATTTAAGTTATAATGTTTTGATGAACAACGTAGGTATGGGTATATGTTCATATACAGTTCATATACAGTTTCCATAGAAGTGCACGAGACAAATGTTTGGATAATTAAAACAATCACATTTGGTAGGTTTCGATGTTAGTATGCTGACACCGAACAATGTCTTAAAATATAATCACTGATTATTGCATACTAAGCCATTTTCGCGTAGCTTATGCAACTCTGAGTTGGATAAAATTATTTTTCATGAGTCGTATGATTAATGCTTGTAAACACAAATATTTTTTTACTTAATATCAATCTAGAACTTTCCTCCAGAAATTGCTCAGATATTCTTCTAGCATTTCAAATCAAAGTAAGAATGAAAAAATACAAAATTGGTTATAGATAATAACACTCTTGTGCTAATTTCGAAAGAATTCTAACAATAATTCCTCTCAGATATGTTCTTTGTGGATAATTTAAATAGTACTTTATAACTAAATAGCAAATAATAATTAGCTTATAGATTAATAGTGTTTAGTATACATATGACGTAAAATGTAAACTAAGGATTAAGAAGTAATGATGTGCCTAGCATAGAGCACAAACGTCATCCTTTAATTATATTGCCTTTGATAGCTAAAAGAACGTGGCGAACTCATTCGGCCTTGCCTCAAACTTTTAATAAGAATTCAGTTATATTTCGTTTAGGAATTAATTGTAATTTACAACTTATTTTGTTGGTTCGATATTTATTAACTGGACCCTGAATGGCACTACACTTTTCATGGTTAAATTTTATATCGAATAGTTGTCAGTGTTCAGAAACTAAAACCTAACTCCACATACACTGCTCAATAACTTGAATGATTGAAAACACAAATAAACTTAAAGACGTTTCTAAAAGTTTAGAAAAGAACAACGAATCGGTTTTGTTTCTTTATAAGAAGTGGGTTGCATGGGCAAAAACATGGTCTCTATTTCTGGACTTGGCGCGCGGTGATTCCATTGAATGAGGCAGTTGCACCATTTTTAGATTCTTACTGCATTCGGAAGCTTCCCTTGGTACTTGTTAGTTCACACTGAGGGATAACATTCTTCCTTGCTATCACTATAGAATATTATAATGTTTTTATTTGACATAAAATACACTGAAACATGCGATGGTAGCATCTTGGCATTGATAAAAATTGCTTGTGACAAAGTAATGTTTTTTTTGCACTTTAAACAGCACTTCTGGACAAAACTGAATGTTTTATTATGACTAGGAAGCGTACTACGTTTGGATTTGCACTCAATGGCATTTTAGTATTCTACGTTCGAAACATGCCAACGTTTATTACAAGACTCTTTGGTTCTGTTAAAATTTTAACAACATCTCGATTTCTATGAAATTGAAACAGGGGGAATATGTTATTTTCTTCTGGATTGGTTGTTATTGTTTTGGTAATCTGCTGTAAATTAAGAATACATATGCCTAAATATCTGAGATATCGCATTTGGCTCTTTAGTCCATGTGTTACATAAGGTGTCGTCCAGTTTGAAATGCCAAATGATTTTCTTTCCATATGATTCCTTAGGAAACGAAGTGTTAGAGTTACTCTACCTGAAAGTAAATCCGAATATAGACTATAGTTGTCACTTAAAAGTTCTAATCTTGAGCGATAGTGTTTGCATGAAAAATTAACTAAACAGTGACCATGTTAACAACCTTCGTTTTGTGACTTCAACTATTTATACCAATTCGCTGTTATTAAATCTTTCATAGTACAATTACCCAAACCCATTATATTTAAATATTAACAGTACTTTTCATATTTATTCATCGACAGTTGTAGCAGAGGACAATGTTACATATAACGATATTTTCACCATAACGTCACTCATTATTTTTCTTATTGGAGTAACTGTGACTCGACAAGTATTTAAAAGAACAACTTAATTACTGTAATTACTTAATTACTTAACTACTATATTTATTTACTTTTCAGTGCATCTAGCAATAGTCTTATTCAATATTTTAGAAATTGGTTCAATTTCTTTTAATTGGCATCTCAATTATAATCAAAACTTCAGAAACAAACAAAGATAAACGTTTTCACTCCTTACATCGAAGATGAACTTATTTTTCATTGGTTACTGCTGAAAGTTTTATCACATCTGTATATTCGTGTCTTTCCTTAATTCGAATGTCATTAGAATAAATAGAAAGCACAAAAATCCACAATGTTGAGTATGATATATATATATATATATAACTGAAACTTGGTATTCTGCTTGTTTATATCTCAATAGCTGTATTATTCTAGGAAATAACATTTTACGAAACTGTCAGTTTTCTTGTTACTAAGTGATATATTTTTAAGAACTCTCTTCCGTTCGTTAGAGAAATGTGGTTTCTGATCTTGTGACCTATTCTCTTGGTTTCTGACCTTGTGACATATTCTCCAATATGACATAACCTTGACTTCACGTATAATTTCGAAAAATGACATTCTTTGAATAAAAATGAAAATAATATTGATGGAACTCAGAAATGACACCTAAAGTGGTTTGATCGTTTGCTTTAAATATTAGAATATTTAAAACTTCATCGTAGATAAGTTCAAATCACCTCAACGTTCTGTTTTTCATGCACTGGGCTAAAACGTCAAAGTCAGAGACTGACAGTGTTCTAAAACGTGTGTGATACCACCTATCGAACCCGAGACTCTTGAATTTTCAGTCTGATACACTAACCATTTGGCCCCGATCAGACATAGTTATAGTTCCAAAGCAAACAAACAATATATATAAAATGTTATTGGTTTTTCTTTTTCTAAATATTGAGAAAACATCATTATCGAAGGACTACGTTTAACACCAACAACTATCAACTATTTACTAGAAATTTCACATGAGGGCGCCCTAATCTTTATACAGAGTAGCAGTGAAGTTAGTCTCCTTGTTATCTGGATTTTGAGGTGAAAAGAAATACGAGAGATTTGAAATTTAAAAATCGTTTTATTTTATCTTTTTAATAATAAAGAAAATAGTTTATTTTGAAAAGCTAAAAAAATCAATACTTTATTTATTTATTTATTACAGAAGACACATATATAGCAAAGTTGAAATAATAATACTTTATTTATTCATTACAGAAGACACATATAGCAAAGTTGAAATATTTGACCAACAAGAAGTTATAGTTCGACTGATGGATACCTGTGACAAGGTATGAACCAGATAATTTTTTGAAAACAAAATTCAATGTAATATTTTCGGTCAAGAACTAAATACCTTTGGTATTTGATTAAAAAATAAGGTAAAATACTTAATTTTTTTTTTCATAAGTAAATAATAATATTTTAGATTCGAACATGGGATTGTTCTGTTATGAACGTTGCTCAAGAGTCTTGCCAAAGTCTGTTTTTGATAAAAAATGAAGTGAAAACTGTCAGCTGCAGTATTTAGGCAGATAACTTAATTAGCTACAGCGTCTATCCGCTTAACAGACTTGCGGGGTCGAATCTTGCCTTGCCTCAATTTTCACTTCAGAAAAAATAAAGTACCTTTTTTTTTCGATGTACTACATACGCTGAGGCATAGTTGATGGTTGTTGCTCTACACACTATACTATATGTAACGGAAAACTGTAAATGAATTGTATTAAACTGCTCATAGGCTACCGGATCAATGGCTCTTTAACATGTGCTTAACAAGACAGTCTTTAGTGACTGTTAAGAAGATAATCTTCTCCAAGCGACCCCAGATAAGTTGTGTCTAGTGCTTATTTCTCGAGAGGACACCAGTTTTTGATCATTAAGTTGTTGTTGTTTTTTTTTGGGGGGGGGATGTTGCCCACGACTATGTATAATATGATTATAAAGCAAAATTCTATAAATTTAGTACATTATATATGTGTGTGTGTGTGTGTGTGTGGGAAATGTGTAGTTGATAAAAGTTATTTACGTGTATCGTTTTTGGTTGTGGCATGTTTTAAACAAGAATTGATACAGCTTGATCACAACAAGTTCCTTAAGTTAAATTACATTCAAACTATTAAGCCATATTTTGTACTTATATCTAGACTTTTTCAGGAATTTCGTCTGTAGTTAGGAATGTCAAACAATCGAAAAATGTCAATATCCACAATTGGAAATGTAAAACATAAACAAAAAGATTTTAACGATTTGCTTCTGATAAGCTCATTTTTATGAAATTATCATATGCATACGTTTTTTTTTTGTTGTTGTTGTTTTAAGTTTAAAACTTTTCGCTTGTGTCAATATATTATACAGTATCACGAAGAGCTGAAGAAAGCCTCAGTATAGAAACCGAAACGCCGTCCCTTTTCATTCAACAGGCAGCTGCGGTCCGTTTGAGTTCTCAAACCTACTATGACTATTCTACCTAACACTTCAGTGAAACAACATATAATTACCTTGATTTTAATCAGATCTCTCACCCGTATTTTCATCATGTCGAAATATTATTCGCTATCAAGAACTGTTTTAATTCTGATTTACATAGTTACCTTACACTCAAGCAATTCGAAAACCTAGAATCAAACACTGAAAACTTTCTAATTTAAAATAAAATCGTTTATTCGCCATATTCGTAAACAACTGTGAAGAGTATTGTGTGTGAACATAGAAAATGCCGCTAATGTCACAGACGGTTTATGTTTCACTGCTTTACGTCAAGAGTCACTGTTAGTTACGTTAATGTTCTTTGAAACAAGAGCAACTGAAATACATCTCAAAGTTCTCAACCTAGGAGACCATGGCGTGTCGCCAGCTTGGCTATATCTCGAAGTTGGTGTTATAAACGCGGTTCTTTAAATCTTTTCTTTATAAACCTCACAACTGTAACTTTCCAACACTTGCATAATTAGGTTTATACATTCTAATTTTGATACATGGAATGCTTTAGGTTTAATGTGTTCACAGCAAACCACATTCGAAACAATATTTAAATCTTTTCTTTATTAACCTCACAACTGTAACTTTCCAACACTTGCATAATTAGGTTTATACATTCTAATTTTGATACATGGAATGCTTTAGGTTTAGTGTGTTCACAGCAAACCACATTCGAAACAATATTTAAATATTTTCTTTATTAACCTCTCAACTGTAACTTTCCAACACTTAGATAACGAGGTTTATACATTCTAATTTTCATACATGGAATGTGTTCACAGCAAACCACATTCGAAACAAAGGCACAGCGTGCGAGTTTGCAGATCATACAGAGATGAAATCTTGAATACAAGAAGTCAAATTTAAGCAGTATCTATGAAAGAGCTGGTGAATATGTGTAGACGACTGTACATTAGTTTGGAGATAATTTCTCACTTCCTGTAAAAATATTATTTCATTTTGAATTTATAATTGTAGTTCTGTATGTGTATGCATATCTAACAGTAACTGTAAATAAGCTATATACATGCTAAAGTGAAATAAATTTAAAGTTTCAAAATAAGCTAATAAAGACGTCAAGTTGAGAATTTCGATTTCACTTGAAATTGTGAGATTGTTCTATTTTATTCTAAACAGATCTAATGCATTTGTTCTTTAATAATAGCAATAATTTGTTCCTAAGGAAAACTCCCTTAGGAAAGTGGTTACAATACGAGTGAAGAGAAAAATAAAATGTGTTTTCTAAGACATTATTTTGCTTCAAATTCTAAGTTATTTAAGATCGAACCACGACTGAAATTGCAGTTAAGTCTAATAAATGAGCTCTTTTGCACTTCAATCAAACAACTGAGTGACCTCGTTGGGTTTTACCTGTTTCGTTATTTCGAGAGTTTGACACCTCCACCAAATAGTCTCGTCTCCTTATAGAAAATGAATAGTTTTTTGTTGTTGGTTTTTAGTTTTCTTCCTTGCAGTAAGTAGTAGAAATGGACAGTTGCTCACCACAAGAATATAAGTGTGAATATTGAGTAACATCATAGTAAATTATTGTCCTTAAGAAACTGGGTATATCCAGCGATATTTATTCATATATCCTGTTTGTTTATGTGAACACCCCAACTTTCTTCACCCTATTCACAAAGCAAATAAACAAGCCATCTATTAACATTTTTCGAAATTAATTTTTAAAGATCTGAATGATTTTTCTAGAAACAGAATCTATTCCAAGTGGTGCGAAACCAGGGGTTTTACAAATAAGCAAATACAGAAAGTACTGACAGTACTAAATTTAACTGTGTATTTTAGTATATTTTAACCTTAAATTCCAACAGTATGAGATAACAGAAAGAAGAACAGTGTTATCAGCTTAAACAGCAACGACTAATATAAAGTGTAGTTCAAAGTATTAAGAAGATATTTCGAATTGATATAAATAAAACACTCCAATTAACAACTATAAGCTTATTGTCGTCTGAGAAAATAATTTAGTTGGCCCTGTAAAACATTTAGCTCAAACAACCTCGCATTCTATTTTCTAATTAAGAAACTGATGAATACATAAAATAAAACTATAATATTATTCATTTGAGAAATTTGGAATTTATTTTTGAAGCAATAAAATTTCTTACTCTTTTTTTTCTTGTCGAGAACTTCACAGCCATAAAAAACTTCCAAGTTAAAATGAAACATATAGTCGCAATTTTATATATATGTATTATAATTATAACTGATTAGAAAATTTACGATGAAGTAGGTCGAGCTCACTTTCTTAACCAGTGTACTTTTCTTAATATATATATACATATTCGTTATATCAAGCCTTTCGTTACTGACATTTTTATTATTTGTTTACGTCGTACTCGAGGAAGGAGAAGCTTTTAGGCTCACCCCATAAAAATACTTCAAGAAATATGAGTTGGTCGCTAAATTAAATGTTTTTATGATGGAAAATGGGTGGCAATCCTTATAGAAACATTCATTGCCCAAGTGCTGCGATAAATGAAGTAGAATAAACGATCTTTACAACAGTGTCAAAATTGGAATACGAGAGGGTATTCTCACTGTATACTTGAAATGCGGACTGTTGTCACCATATGACAATGATCTAGGGTAGAGGAAAACATTTGGCTTTGAGAAGCAAGAAGTGTCGATCTATTTCAAACAACTGTTATAGACATTTTTTTACACAAATGCACGAGAGATGTCACTGTAAGTACAAATCGTAACAACAGAAAGAAATTTGGCTAGTCAGAGTGTTTCATCCGCTCTGACATCTCTGACACTACTTTTTAATTCAATGACCAGATTTATTCCCTTGTAGAGTGTTATCAAAAGACATGCCGCGACACACCTGATGTGTCGCAAGTGATGTAGTACAATTCTAAAACTACAACAAAAGTTATCTATCCGTTTAAATAAAAAAATAATTAAACTGGAATATATATGTTTGTTTTATAACAAAGCCACATTGGGTTATCTACTGTATTCACCGCGAGGAATCTAACCCCGGATTTTAGTGTTGAAAGTCCGTAGACTTAACGTTCTCCAATCGGGGGACTAAAATTGAATAAGTTATAATATCAGTTTCAATGTGATGACCAAGTGAAAATCTAATCGCGAACCATTATATTTAACGCTGTCCGCTTTACAAGTGGTTTGTGTGTGTGTGGCTTTATTCTAGCTTTGACCATCGCAAATTGTGATGTGCTGCGTTCGTCTTTGGTAGTTCCATGCGTGCACTGGGAGGGAAGAGTTTGGGAAACACTACCATGCATATCGTCATGTAGCCCATCTATACTTCCAACTTCGTACATTATCTAAACCTCAAACTATGATCTTACGTATTCATTTTGATAATAAACCAAATAGCATGAAGAATACTACTTTTAGATTACTCGTGATAAGCGAGAGTCAGTTTAAAATTGTAATTTACGAACTTCTCTGTATGATGCACCCTTCGTACGTTTACGAAATGTTAAACAGCGCTGAAACTTCTGGTATAATATATTACTACTAAATATTCATTTTAAACCCCTTTCTTGTACTAACTGTGCAAAGAATTATACCTGCATTTTCAATGTTACAAAAGTACACACTAACCTACTAAATAATTTATGTTTACAATGGAAAGAAATAGCTTAAACCAATAACTTTTTCATAAAAACAGATTAACTATGGGTGATTTTCCCTTCACATTACTTTTAATCTCGTCTTTGTGGCTAGAAATCGAAAGTGTTTAATAAAGAGCATTTTATAACTATCCTTCATCTTCAACAAGTCACTAGCCAACAAGATTTTCGTTAAATACAAAAACTAATTAGTTGGGTTGGATAATGAGAGATAAAATATTCTATTAAACGCTATTATGAAAAGTTGCGGTTTAAACGTTTTATTAATAATTCTTAGGTCTATTTAAACCATAACTTTTCACGAACTTTAAATTCTACTTCTCGTTTAATATCTGTTGCGTTTCAGGTAGTCTTGCTAACCATACAACTTAAACCCATAAGCAGCTCACTCTTGACCGAGACTTTACTTGTTAATTGAAAGAAGATGATATAGATATATGTATATATATAACACGAGTAAAATACTGATTAATTAAGTAGAATATTATACATGTATATATATAACACGAGTAAAATACGGATTAATTAAGTAGAATATTATATATGTATATTTAACACGAGTAAAATACGGATTAATTATGTAGAATATTGTGTATGTATATATATAACACGGGTATAGTAAGTGTTAATTAAGTAGAATATTATATATGTATATATAACTCGGGCATAGTAAGGGCTAATTATGTAGATATTATATATGTATATAAAACACGAGTAAGGTACGGATTAATTGCGCAGAAAATAATATGTACATACATTGTTGTAACGTTCTTTTGTTCGTGATTTCTTTTAGAATTATCTGGAGATAATAATTCAACACCCCGTCCATGTAACGATGATAAATTAGTTTGTTGTCTATTTCAACGTAAATTACTGTAGGCCTACGTTACAAATGACGTTAACCAACATAAAATAAATTGTTGTTTGTTATTAAGCTCAAAACTACACAAAGGGCTATCTGTGCTCTGCCCACCACTGGCATCGAAACCCGGTTTCTAGCAACATAAGTCCGCAGACATATTACTGTGCCACTGGGGGGCCATAAAACAAATAAATGTACTTGTACAAAGTAACTAAACAGGAGCCATAGTTTGTTTGTTTTGAATTTCGCGCAAAGCTACACGAGGGCTATCTGCTCTAGCCGTCCCTAATTTAGCAGTGTAAGACTAGAGGGAAGGCAGCTAGTCATCACCACCCACAGCCAACTCTTGGGCTACTCTTTTACCAACGAATAGTGAGATTGATCGTCACACTATAATGCCCCCACAGCTGAAAGGGCGAGCATGTTTGGTGTGACGGAGATTCGAACCCGCGACCCTCAGATTGCGAGTCGAGCGCCCTAACCACCTGGCCATACCGATTGATTCAACGCTCTATCTTGAAAATACAACACAGTTTGTAACTATCTCGTATGTATAATCTAACTTCAAATATACTAGAAAAAGTTTGACATAACATCTTTAGATCTTTCTAGACTTCTAGACATCTAGCTAACAAACAAATTAGATTAGTAAAATTATAGCTTACAAATATATATATAACTAATGCGGCTAGGGTAAGGATTAATTGAGTAGACGGTTATATATATAACACGGGTATAGTAAGGTTAAATTGAGTAAAAGGTTATGTATATAACACGGGTATGGTAAGGTTACACTGAGTAGAAGATTATATATATATGTGCACTTATACAATACTGGTAAATTAAGGGTTAATTGTCTTTGAAAGTTTCCTTCCAATTCCTTTTGAAATACAAATCACAGAAATATTACGTTAAACTGGCTAAATAAAACTTATCACTGACATAATCACTGTTGAAAATAACGTGTTTTATCCAGGTTAAATTCACGAAATAACCCGCATAAATAAATTTTTATTTGAATTATATACTGATAGTTATTGACCTTATAATTTGCTGATTTATGAATTCAAAATAAATGTGAACGTGAATGTAATGAAATATGACTCACACTTAATTTTCTTATTTTTCTTTTTCTTGTAAAGTTCCATTAGGCTATTAATAGTACTATTATTATTATTTATAACTTAGGAAGGAAAGGAACCGGACAGGTATCTCAAATGGGCAGATGCTTTCCTTGTCGTTTATAGTATCACTAGTCGCCCGAGTTTTAAACATGCACAACAATACTTGGATCTGGTTGTTCAAAACCAGAACCAGAGGCACGCAGGAACTGGAAACTCCGAATGTCCTCTGATTCTGATTGGTAATAAAGTCGATCTTGAACGATATAGGTATGCTTCTTTTTTTTAACTAAATGCAGAGAAGAATATTAAATACATGAATATTTATAGTCATTATACCTTAAATTTTGGGTTTCTGAAATAATTACAGATAATAAAAGTAGAGTTATCTAGATAGCAGATTCTTTAAACTGTATAACAATGCAATAAACTTTATGTTACTGATTTGCTTTCAGGCAAGTAAGTAAACTAGAGGGAGCTTCATGCGCCAAAAAGTACCAAGCAATATTCTTTGAAACAACAGCAGCAGAAGATTATCAAGAAGTTGAGAACATCTTTCATGAGGTGGCGAGACACATTCTTCGTGAGCAAGATCCTTCTTCGGCGTTAAAACCCCTGTACATAGGAGATGACAAGGTCGCTTCTACTGCGAATCGCAACTCCTTGCCACGCAATCAGAGATCTCCTACGTCAGCGCTACCCAATCAGAGATCACCTACGTCAACGTCACCCAGAATTACTTTAATGCCCAAAGATCGTAGACCAGACGAAAAAAATTTTGTAATGGTTGACAGAAATCCGAAATTTAAGCTATTCAATAAGGGATTTAAAATATTTCAGTCCTAAAAAAACGTATTACTAGGTAAAGGAACGAGAAGTTTAATTACAAGTTCAGGACCAAACCGTAATGGAAATCTTTAAATGTTAAAATGTCTGCAAGCCAGGATGGAAATCGGCTTGTCTGGCTAGCTTTTTCATAACAATGAATGTTATTGTAGAAAGAAAGTCAGCAAACTGTGCCAGAAATGTTTGACGTCTATTTTGGTTTCCAGAAACAATAGAGCACGTTTGTTAGGTACTATTTTTGTCCTGATTTAATGGGAATAATGAGTGGTATTACATAGAAATGAATGAACCCGTGTTTAGCACTATGAGAGGTGCTGGATAATATTGTTGTGTTTTCGGGAAAGAGAAAACCCAAAATAAGTTTTCGAGAATTTTATACAAAATATTTTATGCGTTAGCCTTAACATCTTTTTCTAACTCTTCAATAAATAACAAACACAAATATAAAAGTTACTCAAAATTAAACTATTTACGAAAATCTATCGATGTTTTGTGTATTATAATTTCTATCTCGAACAAAAAACTCAGTCTTCGGGTACAAGATACAATAAAAAAAAATCTAACAAAAATGACAGATAGGGGCCGTAATCATCTTTATTCAATATCAAATAAACTAGACGTACAATATCTTTCCTAACTTAGGACACAAAAATCAGTAAATTTTGAAGATCAGTTTGTTTAATAATGTTAAATACTAAGCTATCTTCAATCAGCAATATTTGTAAGATATGAAAATAGCTTGTGATAATATTGTTGTATATGATTATGTTTAATGATTTGTAGGAATAAAATAGTAATAAAAATTCAGTATTTTCATTTTGAGTCTGCGGATATACCTAAACGAAATGTAGCGTAGGTTAGATAGCATTCACTTCGTTAAATAATTATTATAGATAATAATAAGTTTATATAGTTGAAAAAGAAAGGACTTCATGTCAGATATATTACTTACTTAATCCCATCCAATTTGTGTGGACCTTTTAGAAAAATTTCCATTTATCCTCAAATACCAACTTATTTTTATACTTTTCATATTAAGTATTGTAATTTTTTGGCCTATTACAACACTCAAGTGTAAAATACTGACCAAAATACACGAAATTACTGGTTTTCTATCTACAATACATAGTGAACCACAACAGAATTAATGCTTTTCATTGGTAATAATAGGGTTAAGATGAAACTCAAAGTTTTGCGTAATAGAATTACATTAATCAGTATGATTGATTAATGTAATTCTATTACATTAATCAATCATACTGATTCAAATAAATAAATCTTCTTGGTAGTTTTTATTTTTATTGAATAGAATTGCACTTGAAATAATTGAACAAATGATCCAGCGGCCAAATAGTATTCAAAATATAAAAACACCTAAATGAGTTTGGTATGAAACACACGACTGAAAAATAAAAAATCAACTGAATATAAAAAAAAATCAAGAAATTCACTGGTAAAACAAACGATCGTGGATACAAAACTTTAACTTCATCGCATTACAGTTATCACAGAGCTAGGCATGTAGGCATGACATAGTGGTTCACATTCTGGGTTGTGTATCAGAAGGTCCAAGCTTCGAGATGTGGTCTGCCCATGAACACGCATCACATTTATTTGCTGTAACAGTTATTCCTGATAATGATATCAGAGTTGGTGTATGTCCTAAGTGTTTGATACTGTATGGCAAAACTGAAAATATTTTCTATGTTATTAATCATATTCCAGAAATAAATGCCCAATGTTAAATTATAACGCGCATTTATAACTTTTCTCAGATTGCTAAAATAGAAAAAAATAGGACTTATTGTTAAGACTTACTCTCATAACTACAACAGAACGTAGGAAAACTACATGTGCAATGTAGTTTCCAATTATATACTAGATGGCAGCAGAGAGTATCTTAAATTCACAGAAAATATCCTGAAATTTCTAACGTTTCTTTGTTTTTGAGAGTAGAATAACTTTAATAATGGAACCACTTAATGTGACAATATTCTTTATGGCTTATAGAGTGCATAAGATTGCTTGTTAGAAATTATATCGTTTAAAAATGTCCAGGTGGTGCCACTTCAGCCTAGTAAAGCTAATTTTTATATGTAACAAGTTTCTGAAATCACAATTTGACGGATAGTACTATATATTTCTAGCCAAATTTTCCAAAAAAATCTTTATATATATATTATTGTTTATGAATTATATCCCGACTTTTAGCATAAAAAAGCCTAAAGTACCAGAAGTTGATATTTATTTATTCTAATACCATACAGTGTTCATTAACGCAACACTGATCATACAAATTAAACAGAGTAAAATACAATAGAGATGCACGAAAACATACAAAGTCAAAATAAGTATGAAAAACAGAAACAATCCCTAACTAACTACGAACATAATTAGTAAATATTCATTTCTACAAAATAAAAAAATTCTGAAATTGTTGCTACTTTCTGCTCAACTTCACACAAAAAAAAAAATTGTTTCTGCATCCAAATAAATTAGCAGGGTTACCGTTCCGGAAAGTTTCCGTGGAATCACTAACCAACCAGCGTACGACAATACAGGTTGGAAGATTAATGAGTTGAATAGGGCCCAGGTTTACCGTTCCGGAAAGTTTCCGTGGAATCACTAGAAGTTAGGAACCAAACAGCGTAACCACAATACAGATCGGAAGATTAATGAGTTGGACCAAGTCCAACGTCGGCACAAATAGTAGTTATATGCATAGACATATTTATATAGTTGTTTTTTAAACTACCAGGAAAGCTCGGGTAACTCCAGAAACAGCTGAGTGAGTCAGTTACTCTACTCGAGCCTATTCATATATAGTTAAAAAATAATAATTATCTCATTGATTCAGAAACTCAGTAATTGATCTTTACTTTTGAAAACAGTTACACACCTAGACAGGAAAAACAAAAACAAATAAGAAAACTTCAAAATACGAGCACGATTTTCCAGTTAGAGAAAAGGAGAAGTGAAATAAAAAACAATCAGTATTCTGGTTCTTCTGTATGTTCTTCAAGGCGGGTGTGACTTAATGGTTAGCATGCCAACCTGTGAATGAAATGGCCCATGTTCGCGTCCTGTTATCGCAACAAAAAAAAAAAAAAGATCGTGCTCCGCTCTTTTGGGCCTTGATTGTTTTATAAGAGTAACGATTAAATTTAACTATTTGGTAAAAGTAGCCCAAGAGCTTTCGATGGATACTTCTTTTATTTATTTATTTATTTAGTTTTATTGAAAAATGCCAGTGCTGCACTTTTTAATGTTACTAAGCTTTATTCCATATCCTAACCTTAATTCTTGAGGTTACTAAATATTTCAATTTTTTCTTATAATATAAAGCCCTCTTCAATAGCTAATCACAAAGACTAATGTCGACTGTGGAAGATGTCATATTTTGTGACTTTGTGAGGCTATTACTGGCTTTATCTTTATTCTGCGTTAAAACTTTGACTCTTTTGGTTACTAATGGTTTCACTTTATGTCGTAACATAAACTCCTGGCCTATAACTAATTACTAGGACCAGTGCTGACCCACTAGAAGGTGGCAGTGTTGCAACTTTAAGAAGTTACTACTGATTTAATCATATGCTATAAGCTGAACAACTGACTAATTGCAAGTCATGTTCAGTAAGGCTGACCCACATATTTCGTACTTTAAATGGACATGTTTAAAAGCAGAAACCGATAACTTTTCGTAAAATAGTCCATTTCTTGTCTATAAACAGTTTCTCAGTCAAAACAAATTCGAGTCTGGAATTAACGGTTTCAACCAGAATGGCATCTTACGCGCAAGTGGGTTAAACGATCACACCATAGACTTCAAAGAATCAGATATAAGTGCTCCTAGTTTTAAACTATTGACCAAAGAGCGGGCAGCAGGCCAGACTCGCCCGCCATCTGAAGGGATTTTCCCGGAGGTTTGAACATAAAAAATTGATGAACTGTCGCTTTTATAATGGGCTCACAGCTGAAAACACAAAGCATGTTCAAAGTCATTGAACTTGGATTGTTGAATATGCGATTCAATAGAAACAATGGATACCATAATTTGTATTTTAAACTGAAAGTGAATCTCTATGGCTAGAACTATTGCATACATAAGAAGGTGATTGCAATTATGAGTACTTAGAACTAGGGCAAACTGTTGAAACTAGTCTGAGGGCCCTCCTAACAAACCATTTTGATTCCAAGCCAACATTCGCTGCCACTGTCCTATTTTTTTCCACTCCGCCTTCTGGACAAGAATAGTAGAAACTGAGTCGGATAAGATTTTAGAAAGCCTTTTTCACCGTTTATAAGAAAAAATAAGATTATTTTTATGTATATATACATAAAATGAAGACAATATCTGCTTATTTTTGAACTAAGCTTAATAATTAGTCTTGCAATTTTCTATACACATGGGGAGAATAATTAAACATTTTTTAAATAAGAAACATGAAATTATGTAGCTGTAAGTACAAAATAATGCATGAAACTATACAACAAATACTGATATAAAAAAGAAAGAAAATATATCGTCGGCCTATTATGCTGTATTAACTAGTGTAGTGTATTAGTTACGCATATCTTTTCAGACCATGATTAAATTTCGTCGTAGTTAACTTTTATGCCACTGAAAATCGAATTGATATATACAACATGTAATTATGGAAAGAGTGAATAAAGTTGGTGCAAAATGCACATGCCATGGGATTGTTCCCACCTATTCACAGCAGTGATGTGATGGTTATACTTATAACCCTAAACCAAAAATTTCAAATGACAAATACGTACAAATCAAAGTAGTGGCTGATAAAGGGTGGGTCTACTCCCTGTTTTAGTAGGAAATGTATGGAAATTCTGAAGAGAAAACATGAAGATAGTATAGCTGATAACAGAAGCAGTCGAAGTAAAAAACTCAAAATCTTCGAAAGGGATGTAAAGTAACTCATGATATTTCTTATGTGATACATGACAATTTAGTAGAACTCTTTTCAATGACCATGATGTAAATATAGGGGTGAATGTTACCTCCAGAAAGTAAGACACACATAAGCCCGAAGTGGCTTTAATAGATGTGTAGAAGCTCAAAAACCACTGCTGAAGAGAAATAACCGTACTAAAATGCTGAAATGGGCATCCTCCAGGATAGAGCTTTTTTACAGATGAATCCAAGTTCAAATTGTTTGGCAACAGTCAACGATAGTTTGTTTGATGCAAGAGAAGAATGATATCACGGTTAACATAAAACATACAATGATGCATGCTATGGGACCAATAGAAGTGTACTATAGGATGCATCTCAGCCAAATGGTGTTGGAAATCAACACAGAATTGATGGCACCCTGACTGCTGACAGGAACAAGACCTTCTGAGCATGAATTCACCTTTCAGCAAAATACTTTTCCAAGCATTCATGCAGCAAATGTGCTAAAACGATACCTGGAAGGAAAAAATGGCTGATGGTATTTTCTCAGCTATATTTTTACCAGCACAAAGTAACAATATGAGTATTATTAAGGCTGTGCGTGTTTATATGGAAACTGGGAAGTTCAAATAACACCCAAACAACATGGATGAATTATGGGGAGTAATATAAGACAGTTGGAACAATAATTCCCAATCACACACTAATAAATTTATGGTGGCATAAAACAACAACAACGACAAAAAAAAAAACGTATGCCACGCTAGCTAAAGTAAATACAGAATATTTGTGCATTTTACAACTCATCCACTTTTCATTCAATTTTCTGCAAAAAACTATCATTCTAA